TCCCTACTTCTTGCAGTCTGAATATTAATGTGGGTGTCCTCTAGAAACCCATGTTAAGGGTCCCCAAAATCTCACTTTAACTGATCACAGATGAACGGTGAAAACTATAATGCAATTTCAGCACTTAACAGTGGAGCTGTGAGAAGTTATGGGATTGGACAGGTTTTCGGAGTAACGTCTCTGTGTTCGGATCACAGTGGAAAAGGATGCTCCCTACCTCTCAGCTTCCAGGCTAGCCCTTCCCTCCAGCCTCAGACACCACACTAAAGGGCCACTCAATCCCATACTGTGAACTCCAAAACCGTAGCCAGCAGTAGGTTCTGAGGGGCCCACAGCCTCCCCAACCCCAATCCTAGCGTCCGAGTGGCTGCAGCCCAGGACACCCCAGTCAAGAGGCCCTCCTCTTTCTGTACCTCCTCTTTCTCCCTGCCTGAGGCTGCCCGGGGTGTTGCCCCTCTATCCAGCCCTCCTTCCTGAGGCTCCAGCTCCAGACCACATAGCAAGACCCCTGAGAGTCCACAGACAGTGGGTAAGAAGAGGAATCAACGTGGGGCTAGCTGATGCAGTGGCTCAGCAGGCTAATCCTCTGCCTTGCAGCACTGGATCCCCCATGGGTGCCAGTTCATGTCCCAACTGCTCTGTCTCTGATCCAACTCCCTGCTTGTGGCCTGGGATAGCAGCAGAGGATGGTCCAGGGCCTTAGGACCCTGTACCCACATGGGAGACCCAGAAGCAGCTCCTGGCTCCTGGCTTTGGATCAGCTCAGCTCCAGCTACTGCAGCCATTTGGGGAGTGAACCAGTAGATGGAAGTTCTTCCTTTCTGTCTCTCTCTCTCTGTGTAAACCTTCCTTTTCAATAACAACAAATAATTCTTTAAAAAACAGGTATGTCGGGCCCGGCGCCATGGTGCAGTGGTTAAGGTCCTCGCCTTGCACACCTGGGATCCCATATGGGCACCAGTTCTAATCCCGGCAGCCCTGCTTCCCTTCCAGCTCCCTGCTTGTGGCCTGGGAAAGCAGTCGAGGACAGCTCAAAGCCTTGGGACCCTGCACCTGTGTGGGAGACCTGGAAGAGGCTCCTGGCTTCATATTGGCTCAGCTCCAGCCATGCAGCCGCCTGGGGAGTGAATCATCGGACGGAAGATCTTCCTCTCTGTCTCTCCTCTCTGTATATCCGCCTTTCCAATAAAAATAAATCTTAAAAAAAAAAATACAGATATGTCACTTGGGAAATTCACATTCCATATCAGAGATCTGGGGGTGAGGTGGGGTGAGGGGGGGCAGGTTTGTATCAGCACTTCCGGACCCAGAAAGGCCAGACCACGGGTGCTAATTAAAGCCCCTGGCCTTGTGGGTGCGAGCCACTGTGGCCTTGGGCGGCTCAGGACTGGCCAATGTGCGGGGGCTTGACGCCTGTGGACAGATGTGTGTCTGTGTGTGTGCATGTGCGTGAGTTGCCTTGTGTTACAGTGAGGCAGCCCAGGGGGCAAAGACGATCCCATGCTTACGTTCATTTCATTTTTTTTTTTTTCTCTCAGATGTCCTTGTTTTTATTTGAAAGGCAGATTTGCAGAGATCCTCTGTTACAGGATTTTTTACTCCGAGTATGGCAGCAACCTCAATTCGTGCGGACACAGTTTAGTTTTAAAGCAAGATTTATTAGAAAAGCTGAGAAGGGAAACTCCCGGCCTAGCGACAGGAGGGGGTTTTGAGATAGAAAGTGAGAGAGGAGTTAGAGTGGGCAGCAGGCAGTTAGGGTATTCTGGGTCCCCGAGTAAAAGAGAATTTCCCCACCATGTCTTGGATTCACCAGGGCACGTCTCTTCCAAGGGACAGGGGTGCTATTAGCATATCAAGTCCCCACCTGAAGTATCGGCCAGTACCTCCGGCCACTGTGGGAGGGCCTCAGGCCGATCTCTTCATCATTGAAAGGAGAGCAGGAAGAAGTGATACACATCTGCCCTAGGCCTGGAATGTCCTATGTCTGGCACCTCTCTAGTCTTTCGCCCCAAAACCAGATACCTGGGGACCATGAAATTCCTTTGTCCTTGGAAAACCCCCTTCCGAAATAAAGCCTTAAAAGATCCCAACACTTTCCACGCACGGGTCCTTTCTATCTCAAAACCCCCTCCCGTTGCTAGGACGGGAGTTTCTCTTCTCAGCTTTTCTAATAAATCTTGCTTTAAAACTAAACTGTCCGCATGAAAATTCTTTCCTGCGAGACAAGAATTTGAGGTTGCTGCCATACTCAGAATCAAAAATCCTGCAACAAAAGGACCCTTACCCCCTGCCATAATGGCAGGAGGAAAAGTAAAAAGAAGACCCTAGTGCTCTGCCATAGTGGCAGGAAGAGAAGAACCTGAACCCGTATCAATGGTGGGGAATGCAGCTTTTAAAGGTTTCCCTCAAAGATGTTTCTCCACGAACAAAGAAAATTCCTGGTTTCCATGGTACCTGGCCTTGGGACAAAAGGCCACAGAGGTGCCAGACATAGGACATTCCAGGCCTTAGGCAGATGTGTATTACTTTTTCCTGCTCTTTTTTCGATGATAAAGAGATCAGCTTGAGGCCCTCCCACAATGGCCAGAGGTAGTGGCCGATACTTCAAGTGGGGAATTGGTATGTTAATAGCACCCCTGTCCCTTGGAAGAGACGTGCTCTGGTGAATCTAAGACATGGTGGGGGATTTTATATTTGAGACAATGACTTGGGGACCCAGAATACCCTAACTGCCTACTACCCAGTCTAACTCCTCTCTCACCTCCACTCATTGGTTCACTTCCCAAACAGCCATAAAGGCTGGAGCTGAGCCAATCCCTCACATGAGGACAGGGTCCAAACACTTGGTGCATCTGTTATTGCTTTCCCAGCGAGCTGGATCAGAAGCGCCGCAGCCAGGACACAAACTGGCGCCCATATGGGATGCTGACACAGGCCACACAATCATTAATTTCTAAATTCCATATGACCAATCATTCTTTATCTCATATTTACTTATTGGAAAGGAAGGGAAAGGGTAACGGGAGATAAGCAGCTCAGCCACTGGTTCACTCCCCGAATGCCCACAGCAACCAGAGCAAAGTCAGGCTGAAGCCAGCAACCCTCCTCTCAGTCTCCCAGGCGTGTTGCAAAGGCCCAATGACCTCATCCATCATCTGCTGCCTGTGAGCAGAGCAGGGAGCTGGAACTGAGAGGTGCTGGGCATGGAACTGGACCCCCTGCAGTGGGGTTCCATGTCCCAGTTGGGGTGTTACTGCTGGGCCAAATGCCGGCCCAGGACCAGTGTCCTCTGGGCACAGCCCCGCCTCCTACCCCAGGGTCCTGGTGCTGGAAGTGAAGTGCTCACAGACAGGGCATCAGGAAGCAGGGCTCTGAGGTAGGAGATGGGGCTCAGCTGTCTGCTGCCCCATCCCAGGGCCCCCTCCCCTTAGCCACCAGGGAATGTACAGCAGGAGGCCCTCATCAGTCGTGGACCCCCTGACCTTGAATTTGCCAGGTCCCAGAACTATCAGACACAGAGCCAGATGCAGCATGGGTGGTCGGGCGCTGGCCCATTGGAGCATCGGCCCCAAGGCCACCAGGAGCAAAGGTGCCAGTCCAGCAGGTGTCCTGTTGGCTTTTCAACATGGACCCTTCAGGTACCAGGATCACACCAGCCGGCCACACTGCATGTTCAGCCAGGTGCAGTCCAGGCCTCCAATCTGCTTGGCTGGATCCTGCTGGTGGTGCTCCTGGGCGGGGAGCAGCTCCCACTGAAGGTGGGGGGAGGGTGGAATAAGTGGCAACGGGACAAGGGGAGGCGGGCAGGCCCAGGCCCTGCCAGAGCTGGAGAAGGCAATGTGTGTCACAGGGCCACAGGGCCAAAGTTCAGCGGGCAGGGCACACCCCGAAACCTTGGCACTCCAGAGCACCCCCACACCCAACACTGCTGTAACCACAGCCCCAGGACAGGCCCCCTCCTCTGAATGGGCCCCACTTCTACTTCCTATACATCTCTGCTCGAGGGGGCCACCCCAGGCTGTGCTCAGAGCCGAGGCCGAAAGGAACGTGACCAGCAGCTCTCTAGCCGCTCACAGGCTTGGCCCCGCCTGCTCCCCGCTGCCCTCCCTGGCCAAATTGGGGCTGAAGTCCCCAGCACGCGCCACCAAGCACAGTGTGGCACATCCTGCTGCATGGCCCTGTGTGTCACCTGTCCCCACTTGCTTCTTGGGCCACCTGGAGCTCTTTTTTATTTATTGTTTTCAAAGATGTATTTGTTTTTATTGCGAAGGCAGATCAGATTCATGGAAAAAAAGAGAAAGATCTTCCATCTTCCACCCTCAAATGGCCACAATGGCTGGAACTAAACCAATCTGAAACCAGGAGCCAGGAGCTTCTTACAGGTCTCCTATATGGACCCAGGGTCCCAAGGCTTTGGGTCATTCTCTGTGACACTTTCCCAGGCCACAAGCTGGGAGCTAGAAGGAAGTGGAGCAGCCAGGAGAAGAACCAACACCCATATGGGATGCCAGAACTTGCAATGTGAGGATTTAGCCATTGAGTCATAGCATAGCACCAGGCTCCATCATGAGCTCTTAAACATCACAGGGGTCACATGGCTCCCCCAGCCCCAAACCCTGCCAGTGTCTGTGGTTGATGGCTTCATGCCCACCCACTCGCCTCTTTCTCCAGGGGGTCCTCTCAGATCAGTGTTATCTCTGCTGAGTGAGCCTGGGACCCTCTCTGGGGGAAGGGCTGGGACCCAGTGTCGGTGACCATATTCAAGATCCCAGCTCTGGGATATCTGGCTTCAGAGCAGCCAGCACCACCCAGGAATCAAATACAAGAGGGCACAGTGTGCCAAGCACAGACTACCCGCACCCTGCCCTGCCTGTGCCCTGTAGCACAGGCTCCGTCTCAGCTTCCACAGGATCCTCCCCGATCCTGTACTCTCCCTTCAGATCAACCTGTGACCTGATCACGCCCCAGTCCCCCGGACAGAACAATGATGCAAAACCAAGGCACCAGACAGGAGACATGAACCACAAGTATTTACTGCAGAAGTATGGCTGAGCTTCCAATGAGGCTGGGCTGAGACCAGAGCCCTCCCTGGGACCTAGGAGTGAGGTAAAGGTGGCAGGTGGAGAGGAGAAGGGAATGGGGGGCCGGAAACTCAGAGCTGGGAGAGAATGGTTGGGGCCAGGCTGCAGGTAAGCCCAGTGCCATCGGGTTCCACGTTAAGGGATTTCACCACGCCGTCCTCAACGAGCATGGAGAACCTGCCACACAGGGGTCGCGTCAGCCTGGGGCCGCGGCTGGAGAAGCCGGAGGTGCAGGGACCCCACCCCACCCCACCCCCAGGCCCCTCCCTGCTGCTTGTACCTCTTGAGCCTTCGGTTCCCAAAGACGGGCGCGTAAGACTCATCAAGAAGCAAGTCCGTCTCCTGAGGCAAGACCGGCAGAGAGAGGTGTGGGGATCCCCAAAATAGGCCAAGCCCCAAGGGGAGCCCTACCCCACCCCACCCCACACACACAGCACTCCTGCACAAGGGCCTGGCCCACATACCTTCCCAAAGGCCCCTGTGGGGTCAGCCAAAAGCTGAACCTGACAAGGCGGAAAATCAAGGTCATGGGAGGTACTGGTAGCAGCTTCCGGCCACCCAGAGGCCCCTCCACCTCACCTTGCCTTCAGCCTGGTGGGCCCGACCCCACTCGCTCATCACAAAGACGTCGTTGACGCTCAGACACGCCACCACCTGCACCCCCTTGGCCTTGAGCGCCTCGGTCTGCTCCACGTATCCCGGCAGGTGAGACTGCGGAAGGGGAACAAGGAGTCAGCCCTCCCGCTCCCGGCCGAACCCCCCACTCCCGTGGGCCCCTTCACCAGGCAGTGTGAACCACCAACCACTCCATATCCTTTTTTGCCTTGGCCACCAGGAAGCTCAGGTCCAAACTCACCTAGTGGCCAAAATGGACCATGCGCCTCCTAGGGGTAGGACTCTGCCTTCGGTTCCCAAGTCCACCCAGCCAGTGAACTTCGACAAGCCCCACTGGATTTCACTGCAAAGTCTTGCTCCTCCACGTCCCCACCCCTCTCCTCTTTACTGGGGGGCTGCGGGAGGATTTCTGGACAACACAAAGGACCTGGCCTCACCTTGGAGCAGCCGGGGGTGAAGGCCCCCGGGACTCCGAACAGCACGCCCTTCTTGCCCTTGAAGAGTTCGGCCAGATCCACCTTGTTCCCCGGAGTCCCCTCAAACACCTTCACGGAGGGGAGGGTATCTCCTACCTGCAGGGAAGGACTACCAGGTCAGAGGGGAGGGCCGTGTGGGGAGCCAAGGGTGGGGCAGCAGGTGCGCCTGGGAGGACAGACCCAGCAGGAAAGGCCAGTCCCGGCAGCTCCGAAGGGTACCTCCCTGACCCTCTCCACCCCCGCCAGGGGCTACCCGCATTCTGTAGATTCCAAGGTGGCCCTGTCTTTCACGGGCCACACTGGTGACGCTAGAGAAAAAGGGTGGCCGTGGGCTGTACAAACAGCCAGGGGGAAAGGTATCGGATGACTGCACAGCTGTGAAGCCTTGGGGGGTAGGGAGGGGACCCCCTCACATACACCTGTGGGTCCCCAGTACACAGTAAGGGAGGGTGCAAAGCCGGGGGGTAGGCAGAGCAGGGAGACGGCTGGCTGGCAAGGAGAGGGTGAACGAGAAGGTGGGCGCTAGGGCTGGGTCCCCAACACTCGTGCAAGAGTGGAGAAGGTCGCACAGCAGGGCCGGGGCGCCGCAGTGGGGTGCAGGTGCCGAGAAGGATCGGCAACCAACACGTGGAGGCGTTAGAAAGAGCCCACGCAGCAAAGGACATGAATCCGAAAGGCGGGGAAGGCCACGGTGGTCAGCGCCCCGAGAACGGTGGTGCGGGCCTGCCAGAGCGCCGCAGACTCGGGGTGGAGGGGGCTATCCCAGGACATGGGGCGCTGACCGCCCAAAGCAGCGGACAGCAGCCGGGCGGCCAGGGGTCCAGCCGAGGGGATGAGGGGCAGACGGTAGGAGGAAACTCCAGGGCGGCGGGGAGGGGTCTCGCGCGAAGGCAAGATGGTGACACCCCGACACAAAAGCAGGGTGCCCCTGAGAAGCTGGGGGAGGGAGAAGGTCGCCCGGGTCAGCGCCCACCTTGATCGGAGCCATGACTACGGAGGCGCGGCTGAAACAGCGGGTTCCCCAGCGCGCACGTCCCGCTCCTGCCAGTCGCCGTCTCGCAGCTGCCGCCGCCGCTACTGCCGCACCCGAGAGTGCCGAGCGCGCACAGTGACCCAGGACACCCATGCCCGCGGGCCCCATTCCCGCCCAGCGGCCGCTGCGAGCCCCGGGATGGGGGCGGGCCACCGGGCGGAGTCACAGGACCGGCGCGGGGCGTGGCCTTGCCGCGCCCCGCCCCCGGCGAGCCGCCTCTACCGCGCAGGCGTGCGCGACCGCGCGCCCAGCTGGGGGCTCGTGGCGTATTTGCGCGTGGGGGCGGGGCCGTGACATCAATGCCAGCGCCCGGGGCGGAGCCTGCCGCCGCCGCCGCAGCTTTGACAGGCGTCATTTGTGGGGTTTGGTGGCCACCACAGAACCTCCTCTGGAGGCACTTCCGGCAGTGGCGCATGGTTCATCCGGGTCTTTCACACACGCCTTTCCCCGCCCCCCCGACTCCGTTCTGGCGAACGCGAGTTCCAGCATGTTCGCCACTTCCGGCTCGCCCGCTGTGGCAGGAACATCCCCGGAAGTGACGCGATCGCAGCGGCGCCTCTTCCTGTTGCGAGCTGGCGAGCAACATGAAGCTGCTCACGCACAACCTGCTGAGCTCCCACGTGCGGGGCGTGGGTCCCCGCGGCTTCCCCCTGCGCCTGCAGGTAGCCACTGGGCCGGGCGGGTCACGGGGCCCACTAGCCGTCCCCTGCCAGCTCAACTTCTGTCCCCCGCACACCATCCCGTGTCTGCAGGCAACCGAGGTCCGCATCAACCCCGTGGACTTCAACCCCGACTTCGTGGCGCGGATGATCCCCAAAGTGGAGTGGGCGGCGCTCCGAGAGGCGGCCCAGACCGTGAGCATCCCGCCTGCACCGGCGGCCCGGGGGTGGGATGGCGCGGGGTGCGGAGAGGTGGGCGAGGACTCGGGGTGCGCCCAGGGGTCATGTCCGCCCTACGTCCCCCGCCCCCCAGCTGCACCTGGCTGAGCTCCCCGAGCAGCCGGCCGAGGGCTACGAGGGCGACGAGGAGTTCCTGCGCAAGCTGCATCACGTGCTGCTGGAGGTGACGCCGCACCCCCCACCCGGGGCTGGGGTGGGTGTCCCCTCACCCCCCGCCCCGCTCACCGAGCCTCCCGGCCCCTGTCCCCGTCGGCAGGTCGAGGTTCTGGAGGGCACCCTGCAGTGCCCCGAGTCGGGGCGACTGTTCCCCATTAGCCGCGGGATCCCCAACATGCTGCTCAACGACGAGGAGACGGAGGCGACGTGACCACGCGGGGCCCAGTGACACACTCAACACGCGGTTCTTCGCGCTCGGTCGTATATATATATATATATATTTTTTTTTTTTTCCCTCATTAAAGGTTCAAAACCAAAAGCGGTTTCTCTTTTGCAGCAAATATACATTAAAATATAGTCTCTGTCCAGCCACGGGCGCTGGGGCCCCCCGGCTTGCCCCCACGTCCCTGCGCCATCCTGACCAAACCCAAAAATAAATATAGTGTTATTGCTCTGCAGGGCAGTGGGGGAGGGGTGTGCCCTCCCTGCCTCCCCCCCCACCCCCAGGTAGTGCGGGAGCTGGGGGGCAGGAGGTGCCTGGGGCTGGAGCCGGCTTGGAGTTATTGCTTCAAGGGGATGGGGGCACCAATGCCCAATGCAAGTGACAGGAGAGGGGCGAGGGGGCAGGGGCCTGGGCTTTCCCAGCCGGCCGCCTCCGTTCAGGTGTTGAAGCAGCAGCAGAAAGCGTCCCCACACTGGGAGGTGGCGGTCTCCATGCCCTCCTCTCCCTGAGACCAGGTGTCCGCCTCCTGTGCGCGGCCCCTGCAGCCCCCTATGGCTTCCGCAAGGCCCCCCTGCACTCCGGGGGCACGTTATGGCTTGCAAGGGGCAGCGAGCACTGTGCCCTCACGTTCCCAGCTCCTGAGGCCCCCTAGGCCGGGGACAGGAGGGTGAAGGGAGAATGTGGGGCCTGCTCCCAGGGGCCCATGGCACTGCCCTGGCCCTGCCAGCAGGCTTATGGCACTGCCCAGACCCCAGCTCTGCTCCCCTGGGGGCCTGCCGACCCCGCCAAGCCCAGCCCTAGCCTTCAGTCCATCATGGCCTCGAGCATCTCCAAGAAGAGCTTATGCATGGGCACCTTGCCCTCCAGCTTCACCCCGTAGAAATGGGCCAGCACTTTGCCTGCTGTCTGTCGGAGGAGTGGGAGCGTGAGCAGCAACCTGCCGGCCCGCCTCCGCTCGGCACCCCCTCCCAGCCCGGCGCGGCCGGCCTCGTATTCCAGCAGGGCCTCGTGCAGGGCCTCTCGGAGCTGCTCCACAGCCTCGGCATCTTCAATGTGGACAGAATCTGCAAGGGAGGACAAGGAGACAGCTCCTGTCTACAAAGGGCACCAACCACACAGGCCTGGCCATCATTGGGCGGGGCTGAACCCTGACTGGTGGGCTGAGACATCACTGCTCCTGCCCAGGAGCCAGGACACCCCACCTGCCACATGAAGATGGCTCAGCACCCTGTGTGCCTTCAGGGCCCACCCTGTCGCTGTCCCTGTCCCTGTCCATCCTAAGTCTTAGATTCCTTTTCGGCAAAATGGGACTGTGCCACCGTCCATTAGCATTAAGAACAGGACAACAGGACAGCCACAGTTCAGCCGGCTAATCCTCCAACTGTAAGAGCCAGGATCCCATATGAGCGCTAGTTCTAGTCCTGGTTGCTCCACTTCCCATCCAGCTCCCTGCTAATGGCCTGGAAAAGCAAGAGAATAGTCCTGAGCCTTGGAACCCTGCATCCGCATGGAGGACTCCAAGGGGGCTCCTGGTTCCAGATCGGCTCTGGCTGTTGCAGCCATTTGAGGAGTGAACCAGTGGGTAGAAGATCTTTCTCTGTAAATTTGCCTTGCCAATAAAAATAATTTTTTTTAAAACGGTGACACACCTAAATCTCACACTGGAGTCGGTGGGCAAGTGAGTAAGCGGGCTTCCCTGTGCAGGCCCCCAGCTCCCGCTTCCTGCCCATACAGACCCTGCGAGGCAGCGAGGACAGCTCAAGAAACTGGAACCCTGCCATCCAGGTGGGAGGCAGGCTGTGTTCCCAGCCAGTGGCTTCCGACCCAAGTGTAGGTATTTGAGGCGTGAACCAGCAGGCAGGAGCTGTTTCCCTCCACCTGTCAGGTGGGTGAGCTGGGGGGTGCCTGATCAGGGCCCACGGGCACCCACCTGGACTCACCTGAGTTGGCAAGAGCCAGGGCCTTAAGCAAGACGTACTCCTCTCGCTCCAGCCGCAGGGCCTGCAGTCGCCTGACGAGCTGCAGCAGGGCCGCCCCCAGCTCCCCAAGGCCAGCTGCCCGGGCCCCCTCTTCATCCAGGACCAGGTCCTCGGCAAAGGCTAGCTCATCTTGTAAGGGCAGGGAGCGCTGAGCCACACCCAGCACAAGGACCTCCATCCACACACTCTGCAACACTGACATCTGATCGGACAGCGACAGCGACGAGAAGCCTGCAGGACAGAAGGCGGTGGGCCTGGCTGAGTGCAGGTGCCAGAGCAGCCAGGCACTTGCAGTGGGCAGCCCAGCTCACTCAGGCCCTTTACCTGGGATGCTCTTGGCCCAGCTGATGGTGACCACGATCTCCCGGTCGAAGAGGTCACAGAGAGTGGCCACAGCCGGGAGGTGCCCATCAGGGCCGGCCGGGTCAGGCATGGCGTACAACTTCTCAGGCTCAACCACGAGCAGGTGGGACACAAGTGCGTTCACCGGGGCTGCAGCAACAGTTGGAGGACCAGAATCAGGAGCACTCCCCCCAGCAAGGGGCGGCACTCACGCTGTCCCAGGGACAGTGGTCTGTGGGTGGGCTTTGAGCCCTGCAAAACCTTCCTCTGGGGGGCCCGGCACATCAGAGGAAGCCACCACCAGCATCCCCTATGAACATGAGTTCAAGTCCCAGCTGCTCCCCACTTTCTATCCAGCTCACAGCTGAAGTACCAAGGGAAAGTAGCTGAAGATGGCCCAAGTTCTTCCCACAGGGAAGACTGGATCGAAGATTGTGGATCTGACCTTGCCCAGCCCTGCCCGTGGCAGCCATGTGGAGAGTAAATCAGCAGACAGAAGGTCTCTGGGCCTGGCGTGACAGTGTAGTGGTTAAAGTCTTTGCCTTGCATGCGCTGGGATCCCATACAGGCACTGATTCTAATCCTGGTGGCCCTGCTTCCCTCCAGCTCCCTGCTTGTGTCCTGGGAAAGCAGTTGAAGACGGCCCAAAGCCGACCCTGCACTCCCATGGGAGACCTGGGAGGAGCTCCTGGCTCCTGATTGGCTCAGCTCCAGCCATTGCGGAGTGAACCATCAGACGGAAAATCTTCCTCTCTGTATATCTGACTTTCCAATAAAAATAAATAAGTCTTAAAAAAAAAAAAAAGAAGGTCTCTTTTCTTCCTCTCTAACAAATCCCTAAAAGAAAAAAACCTTTTCCACTTCTCAGCCATATTACTTGGTGTTTGGTGCCATAAAGGGTATTTTCACTAATTCTTGCGAATACAAGTATGTCATAACAGGAGCTGAGTCTCCATGCTCTAAGAAGCATCCCGCTGGGCAGCTGACGCCTACCACACCTGCCTTCCCCTCCCTCCCGCCAAGCCCTGCAGCCCCAAGCACCCCAGGGTTCCCTCACCTGTCTTCCGGGGGCCTCCAGCTACTGCCAGGGGGCCGGCAGGGAACGAGCTGGGGAAGGGCAGCGGGTCCACCTCTGGTCGCCGCTTGTACTTCTGCCGCCCGCCCCGGACACGATCCAGGCGCACTCCTTGGGTGGCAGGACAGGACTGTGACTGTGGGGGCCAGGCTGACTGGCTCTGCACCCCCCGAGGCTCCCCCTGCCCTGGCCTGCTCAGCAGCAGGTGCCCAGCCCCTGCCCACGCCCCGCCCGCACCCCACCCGGCGCTCACCCTCCTTGAGCATGCCCACCCGCAGGCACTTGGTGAAGCGGCACGCCTGGCAGGCCTTGCGTCTCCGCTTGGTAATCTCACACTCGTTGGAGGCTGGGCAGCTGTACTCAATGCTCCCTGTGGGCAAGAGGTGGGATTTCAGGGGCGGCCTCCGCCCCAGGCCCTGGCCCAGGAGAGGAGGATGGCCCTGACTCTCCCGGGCAAA